TACAGGTTGATCTTTGTCTCATCTGTCCATAGAATACTTTTCCAGAACTGGGCTGGCTTCTTGAGCTGTTTTTGGGCAAATTTAACTCTGGCCTGTCTATTTTTGAAATTGATGAATGGTTTGCATCTACATGTGAACCCTTTGTATTTGCTTTCATGGAGTCTTCTCTTTACTGTTGACTTAGAGACAGATACACCTACTTCTCTGAGAGTGTTCTGGACCTCAGTTGATGTTGTGAACGGGTCCTTCTTCACCAAAGGAAGTATGCGGTGATAATCCACCACCGTTGTCTTCCGTGGACGCCCAGGCCTTTTTGAGTTCCCAAGCTCACCAGTCAATTCCTTTTTCCTCAGAATGTACCAGACTGTTGATTTTGCTACTCCAAGCATGTCTGCTATCTCTCTGATGGATTTTTTCCTTTTTTTCAGCCTCAGGATGTTCTGCTTCACCTCAATTGAGAGCTCCTTTGACCGCATGTTGTCTGGTCACAGCAACAGCTTCCAAATGCAAAACCACACACCTGGAAACAACCCCAGACCTTTAACTACTTACTTGATTACAGGTTAACGAGGGAAAGGCCTTTTGAGTTACTTGCAGCCTTTAGAGTCCATTGTCCAATTACTTTTGGTCCCTTGAAAAAGAGGAGGCTCTGCATTACAGAGCTATGATTCCTAAACCCTTTCTCCGATTTGGATGTGGAAACTCTCATATTGCAGCTGGGAGTGTGCACTTTCAGCCCATATTATATATAAATTGTATTTCTGAACATATTTTTGTCAACAGCTAAAATAACAAAACCTGTGTCACTGTCCAAATATTTCTGGCCCTAACTGTAAGTAGTGCTGGGAAAAAGTATTTCCACCTCAAAGTAAATACAAAAAAAAACCTTTTCTAATAATGAGAAAACAGCTATCCAAACTGATCCAGCTCTGTGAAGAAAAAAAAATTGCCCCAAATCTAAATGCTGTTGTAAATTATAGCAAGTTGTACATCCTGAAGCAGCAAGTAGAAGCATGTTTGGCTATTGGTTTGATTTCTTGTTCTGTTAGTTTGACATCACACATATTAGGTTGCACACCTTCCAAAACAGTCCACAGACTATTTTCTCAAAAGTATTGTGGATCATCTATGTTCTTTTTTCTGGCCAATGTAACAGGGGTCTTTATGTTCTTTTGGGTCAGCAATGGTTTTTGGCTTGAAACCCTCTAAAAGATGCCATTTCTGCCCATTCTCATTATTGCGGTTGAATCATGAACACTGGGTTCTTTTGGGTAAATCCTCCTGGATAAGTCATCGATCCATTCCAAGAGAAATTTTGGTTAGTTGGTCACTCAGTCCATCACAGAGAAGTACAGGTCAAACACCAAGCACACATGCTCTCTTTCTGAAGATACTACCCTATATGGATGATGACATACTGACTGTAACCACAAAGCCTGCTGCTCTCTAAGGCTGCAGACAGAAAACACATTGTTCTCTTGGCAAAAATATCTTTGAAACAGGAATTTGCCAATTAAATGTCTGGATACTTTTTGATGATGCTGTATTTTTGTGAGCACTTTCATAGCAAAGATCATGTACAGTGTCTGTAAAAAGTACTCATCACATGATTGTGCTACCCTTTTGTACCTTTTACAAGTCAATCTTGAGAAACAAAATTTGGCTTTTTGACAAAAAAATACAAAAAAAACTTTTTAATGTCAAAGTGAGAACTAATTCCTACAAAATATTGACAGAATATTTTATTTTACATGTCAAATAAAAATGTAACATAAAATGAGAGATTGCATAAATATTTACCACCTTTAAAATGACTGACCTAATTAATCAGAGGCCCAGCTAATTGGTGCTAGTAGTACTGGTGCTTGAGAGTGCATCACCTGAGTGCCTCTCAGGTGATGCGAGTGGATTTACTGATTAATCAGTATTCCTGGCTACCATGAAGATAAATAAACACCCCCAAGAAAATCAGAGAAAATGGTTATGAAAAGTCAATAACCATTTCTAATAATGAGAAAACATTATTAGAAATGTTTTCTCAGGCACATTACCATATGTAGTGCTAGGAAAAAATATTTCCCATTTAATATGGATAAAAAAAATGTCTAAAGGATCGACCATCTCCTGGAAGTCAGTTAATACAAAAAGACAAGAAAGGAATATGGCCCATGTGTAAATCTGCCTCGATCAGACGAACTTCCCAAACTGAGTCATCATGCAAGAAGAAACACTGTAAACACAAACTCTTATCAAGCATTTTTGGTCTCGTTTATAGTGCAAATATCTTAGTAGATTTGAAATAATACAAAACTAATGTAAAAGTACCTTTTTACCTTGATATAGAGCAGTACTTCTTCAGCAATATTAAGGACTTATCTAACTAAAACAAGCCTCTACATCAGGGGTGTCCAAAGTCGGTCCTGGAGGGCCAGCATCCTGCGTGGATCCTGGATCAAATGGTGGCTCATTAGGAGGCCTAAGAAACCTGACATGCTGAACAGGTTGTAACTAAAATGTGCAGGATGCCGGCCCTCGAACACCAACTTTGAGCACTCCTGATATAGAGGCTTGTTTAAGTTAAATAATTCCTTAATATTGCTGAAGAAGTACTGGTATCACTGGCAGATTATTTCACTTATAACAAAATATTTTTCCCATGTAATAAGTTAATTTATCTGTCAATTTTTCATCAATATTAAGAAATTATTTACATAAAACTATTCCTTATATCTTGCTGAAAAGTTACTTTTAAGTTAGTTTGTCTTATTCCAAGTGTACTAAGATATTTGTATGAGAAACTAGGCCAAAACTATGTGGTAAAATTGTGTGTTTTGCAGTGAAACTATTGCGAGAGGACACCAACTCATCATGACAAGCAGCCGCAGAGATGGAAGAGACTATGAAGACAACAACTGCTGCCTGGGTCAAAGCTTCAGGAGAGAGTGACAATGAGAAAGACACTGTTGAATAAAACTCATAACAAGTCTTGACTTGACTGTTTGTTAGTCAAACAGTGTGTGGGAGACTCCATAATCAAGTACAGGAAAGTTCTTTAATCTTTCTGGCTTACAAACCTAACATCACTGACAACTTTTCATTTTATCCTCAGATACTTTGTGCTAACCTTTATTTTCTCTGCCTTTTTAAAATTATTTCTCAATCAAAGACATAAACATGAATTTCATCTGTGAAATGCAAGTGTATGTATAATTAGTAAGGAAATGTAAAAATTATGACATATGCTTCATTTAATTTATTAGCTATCCCTTTGAAATTGAAAATGTATCCCTTGGGTTGCATTCTTTTTGGCATCCATGATTTATACTCTCATATACATCCCCAGGATGGACTTGTGACCTGTTTATAGCGTCTCCTGAATGCTGGTTCAAAGTCTTTTAGATCAACCTGATGAACAGAATGTTTTGATTCACAAATTAATGTCATCCAAATAACAGAAATTTGGAATGTTTAAAAATATTCACAGTTCCAAAGATGCCTTTGGAAATTAATGCTTGGATGAAAAATATATATATTGCCCATTCTTAGTTATAAGTCTTAAAAATATAATTTTTCAACAACAGGCATTGCCATAAACCTGAAATACCAACACTAGTTGATCATACCACTGCAATATTGAGAAAATGCTGATAATTTGTCAAATGCGCATTAGAGAAATGGCACTGAGCACAGATGAACTCTGTATATCTAAAGTCCTGGCTTCAGCCCAGAATGCCATCAGAACCCAATCAGAACAGAGATGAAATCATCATAAGTACTGAATGTAAAAACTGATGTAACAGCATACTAAAAGCAACCATTATTCATACTACTTCCCCTGCCAGCTGGTGCATCATCCCATTTATTGACTGTCTCCTGGCTGTAACACTACTCATGTCCAAATCTTCGAAGTCATGCCTCTTGTTTGTTACAGGACACTGCAGTGAGTTGTATTAAATTATTACTATTACAGTCAATTTTCAAAACTAGTTACGGGAGTCCTGCAGGATATACAAGTAGGTTTTTAGAGGGGGGACATCACTGCCTGATGTCACAGGCCTGGACTTACTAGGCGTCAGGACGACTGCAGCACGGGTAAACTGAGGAGCTGGCGGTTAAATATGGAGCCACAAAACAAGAGCAAATAGAACATGAATTCCCCTTGAGAAAAACTATTTAGTTTCACATTGGTACTAAATGTTTTACTTTAAGATTTGCTGTACTTTTATACTTTGCTATATTTCATCGCTATATTTAATTCCATCAAGCTAATAAAGATTTTAACTGAAAACTTTTCTAAGATTACATTATGTGGATATTTAAAGTAAATTGAAAATATGTTTAATAACTGGAAGTTGCACAAAAACCATGTTTCAGACTTGGCGTAGTTTGTGATCTTTTGCAGGAAGCATGATTTTAATGACTCACACAGAGTACTGCACTCGATCTACCAACAAATAAAGTAGACGATCAGCATTCCTTCGTGTAATATCAATGCCAAAGCTCCAAGAGAACTGCCTTTTATTTACTGCCCTGCAACAAACATTTCAATAGCTTTACAAGCACACAAGACGAGTCATCATTATTTACCTACGATTTCTAGAGGGGCTTGAACAGAGCTTACTTCTCTTAGCTGCTTTAAAAAAATTAAAATTTGAATCAGTGTGAAATCAATGAAACAAATTTATTAAAACTTAATGAGAGACCATTCTCTGACTGTGACTATCAGTCTGGGATTCGGAGAAAATTTTAAACCACTCAAACCATTTCTGCTGATTCATCAGACCCACTTTCATCCACTCTCCATTTACTGTAAATAATTCTTGTTTAACTCAGACCACTGCCATCTTTTACTGTGATGCAGCACAAAAATGCAACGTATGACCTCAAAGATTTAGGGAATATTTTGTAAAGTAAGCAGGTGCTGAGATTACAAGAAATCCCAGGCTTACATTTTGAAGAAATAACCCAGAGCAAACTTAGCCCAGCATTGATCAACTCACCAACTTTGAGGCTCGGGGTTAAGCTGCTGGTGAAGTGCCACAGAGAAACCAAAGAAGGTCCCCCGGTCCCCCAGCTTGTGCAGTGTGTGAGTGGTGTCCAGGTTAAAGCAGCAGACCTGACTCAAGAGAGAGGAGAGAGCCAAGAGGAAGAACACCCTAGGATGAGAGGAGACAGATGACAGGGAAGCCGTTGGATCCCCATGTCCCATCAGGGCTGCCATAGCAGAGAGCAGGTTGTCCAGCAGAGAAAGTTCAGCTGAAGAAGAGCAGAGGGGAGATTCCTTGTATGTTTCCCAAGGTGCTGAAAAAGCGCCAAATCCTGAGTAAATCTCTTCTCCCCTGTCCTCTGTAGATGACTTCCTTGTCTACAGCCCTCTGTCCCGCTCTCTCAACTGGCTGGCTCTCAACTCCGTTTGCTGCTGTCAGTCTGAAGAGCGGGCTGTGAAAATGCGGCTGCTACTACTATGTGTGTGTGTGTGTGTGTGTGTGCAAGTGGGCTCTTCTCAATTCATTTGCGCCTCCCCCTCCTTTATGCTCACAGGGAGACAGAGGACAAGTGCCTTGAATAGCCCGCTCACTCCTCCCCCTTCCCTCTCTCTCTCAGCTTGTCCACTTCGCCCTCCCCTCCTTCTTCTTCACTCAGCTGACATCAACACTCAGGGGACCAGAGCCAAAATACCAGGCAAGGTTGTCAGGATACTTGGAGGATAGTGAACAGAGTGAGAGAGGGCATAAAGATACTTGACTGTTTTACCTGTTGAGTTCACACGGTCTATTCCGGGTTCTTTTGCATCTCTCTGCTGCAGGTGCTTGTAAGACTGAGTGTCATAAAGAGAAAAATTAAGAGTTGCATTCTTGAAAGTCAAAACATTAACAGCTAAAAAAAGCTTAAGACTTTTTACATCTCACTTCTAGTTGCAGTAATCTGGACGGGATCCCAGATACAAAAGAAGAAGACATCCACACAGTGGTCCAAGAAAGTTCAAGCTCTTTAGCTGAGAAGAAGTGTGAGAGAATATGTGTAAATATAATATATATATATATATATATATATATATATATATATATATATATATATATATATATATATATATATTTTGTAAAAGCTGTGCAGCAGACAGGCTCGTACTGTGCCAAAGCTTTGGATATAAAGTACAAAGGTGAAAGGGGTTTGTAAGGAAGAGTTGGAAAGTTTGAGCTGTGGTCATGAAGTGCAGCCAATCAGAGAACGGAGAAACATTAGAGACTAAAAGGGACAGCCAGGCACAATAATAGAGGTGGGCCTCAGGAAAAACTGACTGGACATGAGGCAGAGGCCGTAGCACTTTTAAGTGACTGAGCTTGGAGAAGTCTGTGAGCAGCTGTCGGTGTGTCACTTCAACTGGTTGCCTCAATAAACCTTGCACAAACAGATGCATAGCAGTCGCACAAACAGGTGAGATTCTTGGACCATGCTGTCACATTTTGTTGGAGTTGAAGTGAAAGAGAGTTAAATGTCTTTGGTGTAATGAGTCAATGGAGCGTTCATGATTTTAGTGGAGCACAAAGGCTGTCCAGTTTACAGTTGTTTAGAGTAAATTAACTGCGTTATATAAAGCTAAATTAATAGCTTGCAGTCATTATGTAATCATATATAGTCATATAATTATGGTTTAGTCTTAAGCTGAAGATATTTCTCATGTGACCTGTCCCATGACCTGTCCCAAATAGCTATTTTCATTCTACTTTCTAGTAAAAAAATAAAAAGCAACAAAAAACTGTAATCAATGGCAGCAACTGTCACACAGTCGTCTGAATGAATGCAACTAGTTGCAAATATCCTACTTTTGTCGGAATCAATAATAGTGATAATTAACAATAGTCAAATCTAATATCAAATAATTAAAAGAATATGCTTGATGTGTGTAAATCCCAATGGCTCTATGGCAACATGAAAACATGTGCTGCAGTAACTGTGGTATTTTTCATTTAAGCATTTTTTGCCAACATTTATTTTTCTGAAGGCAGTTTTTCACAAATTGGCATCATCTAAGTCGTTGCTCACCTGTTTTGTTGTGCCAAATGCATCCAACACAGCTTTTACAGACTCACATCTAATGAGACTCTGTGGCCCTCAGTCTTCTGGCTGCAAAGACTTTGACTTTGAAGTTGATGACCTTACAGACCTGATGTACAACTTGTTGGGGAATTTTCCAACACGTCTTTGTTGGCTGACATTGTAAAAATGTCTCACTTCTAGTTGCCGTAATCTGGAAGGGATCCCAGATACAAAAGAAAGAAGACATCCACACAGTGGTCCAAGAAAGTTCACCCCGGTTAGCTGAGAAGAAGTGTGAGAAAATACACACATTCTCTCACACTTCTCTGCCACTACCATAACTGTTTGCATGGTTTGTATGTTGGAGGTTTGTTCTATTTCAGCATGGGGTGAGAGGCATGTAATTTCTTCTTCTTCTTTTCTATAATGGCAAATTGCAAACAACTTCCAGGTGCATACCACCACCTACTGTACATTCGTGTGTAGCAACATTACCTCACATCCAATGAAATTGTATTTTTTATTTTTGTGGAATGAAGATAAATAAATTAGGATATTTATTGATTAATCTATAAATATCCTCTATAATCCTAATATTCCTTCAAGACTATTCCAGTCTTATCCTTCTTACTATTTTTGTCAATCTTTGAGTTTTTGGATAAAGATGTTGCTAAGTTCTGTTTTTAAAGTCTCTGCCTTTTAATTTCGACCATGTTGTGAATATTAGCTGGTCTTTATATCTCATAATTCTCTTTTTAATGCAGCTAAATTGTTGTATTTGAACATAAATTTTTGCACATTTACTTGAACAAGTCTGCTGATAGAAAAACTGTGATTGTCAGACCTAAACGTCCACTTCATATGGAAACAATGTACTTTTTATGAAGTAGCATAAAAAGTAATAATGCGCTACTTACAAGTTTAGCAATCATCAACAAGTTGAAGCTATGTTAAAATATTTTCAGATTAAGAAGAATACAAACGATCTCCAGATTAGTGTCTCCGTAAATCAGCATCAGTACACCAGCTTCAACTAACAGGAAGCTAAAATCTCTTCATGTGATTTGTCTGGTTTTGTAAACTGTGGTGTTGAACTTTGTCTGCCCCCTGCTGTTCCTATAGCATCATTTAAAAACAGTTTTCTGTCCTCACCACCTGTTTAGAAAGCTCTTTCATTAGAAAACTCTACATATGTGATGCCAGCTTATTTTTAGCTGCTAAACTGTACATTTACTTCTGTGAGGCCACAGGTTGTATCTTCATCTGAAGATGACCATGCAAGGCAGGTTTGTTGGTATTAGTCAAGTTAATGTGCAAATTTTTACTAAGTACCAGGAAAAAAAATAGGATTCGGGATATGGTTACCCTAACCCTAAATCTAAAGGTAGTTAGATGACAGAAACAAATAATAAAGTACATTTCAGACAAAGGTTTTCTGGTCTTAACTGAAATCAACCCAATATCACCTCATCATTCTTTGAGTCATTATGGTTCTGTTTTTTGAACTGTGAAGTTTTAACAATGCTCACGTGTTTCACTTGGATAAGTATTATTTCATTATCTTTGTTCATTTTTTATCTGTTTCATGCATATGAAGTCCAATAATACCATGTAGATACTCTACAGGTAAATTTAAGCTGATATTTAATATAACAGCATGTGTGCTGAAAACCTTCAGTTTGAGACAGAAATATCTGAAGGACTCCATGGTGCTGCAGAGCAGTAAAAAGAAAACAGGACCTGTGGGATGTTGAGAAACAAGCTTAAAATATTGTAATGGCAGCTTGGGCAGACAGCCAGACACCTTGAGACAGAACAAAGCACAGTCAGCGAGTGGGAAGAGAAAAGGCTAAAACAGAACAGGCAAAAAAGAGAAAGGTAACTACAAAGATGACTACATCTAAAGATTATCTGACAGGGTAAAATCCCAGTACAAAAAGGCTCATTAGCAGTCTGAGCCACACTTCAAGGAGAGGGTTTGTTTCTGAAGGCGGCAGCAGCAGTGTACAGTCAGGGTCAGCTTTCCCTATTTAGTCCATCAGTGTGATAACTGAGATGGTTGCAGTCAGCACTATGACTGTATTGATTAATGGACAGCGCTACAGGAGGGAGTGGTGCTGGTTCTTGACCACACACAAGCCCACAGGAAAAGGCAAAACAGCCTGCCAAGCTGCGGTGGACTGGTAATGACATTTATCATTAATGTAACCTAAAATCTGCAGTATGGTAATTTATTAAGTAGGGTTATGACTCAGCTTTCCCCCAAAGCTTTAAGGAGACAAACATAAACTCTGTGAGTAATCCTCCTCTACTGCAGGGCTAAATTTGACACCGTCTCACTTTCATGCTTACTGTTGTGTTTGTCTGTTTGCTTTCAAGGGCCAAAGACCTGATGTTCTATTAACCTTCTTAAATACTGAACTCTTCCATGTTTACTCTGCAATGGCTGTTTTACTATATTTTATTCAATCGTCCTGGGTAGAGTGCAGGGTCAACATTATGAAGCAGTGTGTCTTAAGCCCAAACAAGGTTTTGTGTTAAATTTAACCATAGTGTTTTGGCTCCTAATCTTTTTACAAGAAAGATGTGATGCAGTTTAAAAAACATAAAGATCATTTAGCAAAACGTCAATGTCTAAATAAAGTAGAAAGTAAGCATATCGGTTTTCTTAGGTCCAAGGGGTCACACTCATGTTTCAGGCTTTACTCTAATGACAATATCAGAAGATTTTCACTTGCTCATAAATCCTAATTGATGGAGCATTAGCTGTAAAAGTTTAAGATTGCAAAATTTCCCTCTATTGTTTCCCCAGTACCATTGATGACACCTGATTTTAATTTTTTTATATTTTATTGGCAGGTGTTGGGTGAATGTAGACGTAACAAATACAAGGAGGAGAAATTGGGGTTAGAAGTGGTTATTTTTTTATTATTATTTTATCTGGAATTATTTATTGATACAAGATAACCTGATGGAAATATATGCATTTGATCAATCAACAAATCTTGGCCTCAAGTTCACCGATTTGTCTTTTTTTTTCAGAAATTATCTGTTTTAACTGTATTTTACTGGAATGGATCCATTCTGTTTTGGGCACAAATGAATTAACAGGTGTGGACCAAAATTGAATCAGGTTAAAATTGAACTAAACTGTGCTGGAATGTGATCCAATGCAGAGATTCCGGGTACAAAGGGGATTTATGAAGCCATATCTTTATCAATACAGGATAATAAAGGATGTACAAGGGAGTCTAATCATTTCAGCATGTAATTATGGGAAATTTCCACTTAACCAAAATGGTTGAACAGCAGAGGAAAAATCACGCTGAGCTTCATAGGATGGGAAGTGAGTTAATTGAAAGCTTTCCACAGTCCATGTGTAATAAGCCATTTGCTATAGACTTAATGTAAATGAAATTGCTGTATGCTACCTGAAAGACTACATTTATACTCACTCCAAGAACAAAAACTGGAAGATGTGCTTGTTCTTAAAAATAGAAGTTTACTCATTATCTTCTGCAGAGTTTATACAAATATTTAGTAACCAAATAGAAATATAACAATGCAGACCTTGCGACCATAAATTTACTTAACACCCAACAATGCAATGCTAAACTGAACAAATCTGAGAAAAACACGAAGCAGAAACAGGTTTAGAAAAAAAATAATTACAAAAAAGGCTCAGAGGCGCCCTCTGCTGGGTCACTATAAGAATCCCAGTCATGTCAGGTAAACGCGTTTTTTGTTTGTTTTGCATGTACTTTCACTGTCAGTTCACTCTTAAATCTAAAGGAGAGATATGTAATTTTTAAGTAAACAAACAGCCTCAAGTAAACATACAGTCTATCAGTTATATATACAGCAGCTGTATCTGTAACACGCATCTGCTTTATGTAGAAATATCCATGAAAGCATTATGGATATTGTGTCTGTAATGCTTTTATTGCAACAAAATATCAACATATTAACAAAGAAAAAACAAGAACTAATGGAACTTTTCTGCAGAGATGTAGACTGTAAATTTGATCCTAATGTGAAAATGTTTGCATGTGAACTGGATAACCGACTTTTGTTCACATTTTACACAAGAGTGTCCGCTAGAAAGATAACAGCTACACAAACACACACACCAATAAATCAGCAGTACATCCTCAGTTCTCCACAAACATTGATGGGTAAATGAGTTCTAATTTAACACCATATAGTGAGTTTTTCAGGACACTGACAACACCAAAATGATTCAACTATGACTTTGAGACATACATTTTAATTCAGTAGCAAGCTTTCAGATCAATGTTGTGGTCTGTATGTAGGATTGTAGGGGGGCTGTGCAATTTCATCTGAAGGTAGAGGAGGTGCACTGGGCTGACTGGGAGGAGTGAGTGGGTACATCGCCTGCTCTGGTACAAAAGGAGCTGAGTACGATGGAGAAACTGAGGAAACAAGAAAGAATCATTAATTTATCTTTTGAAATGATAAATAGCTGTCATATCCAGAACATAGTAGTGAGGGGCAAAGCTTCAGAGCATGATGTACCAGATGTACAGTTTCTATTGCATTTCTAAGGCATTACAGAGACATGTCTGTTTATATTATTTTGTGTAAAAATTGCAAGCTTTGCAAACTGTTTTAACACTAAACATCTCCGCTACTTTAAGCTAATTCAACATCAGGGAAAAATTGTAACTTTCCACTTAATTTTCTGGATTTATTGTTTCATTAGAAGGCAAATATTAATGCATAATATTAACTTTAATGTTGTTAGATGTGTAATGGTTCGATTTTGGCATAGAAGAATGATATAAAAGCATATCAGTTGAGCTGTGTTGCTTAATGCTAACTGGAAGCTCCCGCAAATCGCATTTTATTGTTGGCACCAGGACCAAATCTGACTTCATGCTGAATAAAAAGACTCAAAATATCCTGAAGAATTGAATTAGAAAGACTGACCTGGACTTCTAGGATCATCTTCTGATTGTCTGTATTAATAAGTCGTGTCATCAGAGGTTGAAACAAGGTTAGGAAACTAAATAAACAACTTACTGCTTTCTCTATATGATGGTGGCGGGGTGGAGGGCAGAGTGGAGCCCTCGCATCCTGCCACCGCCTGGTAACCTGGAGGATGTGCTTGATATGCAGATGGTGAGGAGTGAGGCTGGGGCATGTTGGCTGCAGTGTTTGTTACCACTAGAGAAAGCAACACATTTAATTTGACTTTTATACAATCACCAGTTATGTGTGCTGACTTGACATCAGAAGTTAAAGTTTTACCATTTTATACAAAAAACTATTTTTATATTAAAGAAAATACATCAAGGTTCCAAACAATATTATTGATATAATCCATGGATTTTACTCCTGAAAAAGAATTTATGCTGCGTGAACTATTTCACATTTTGTAAAATCACATGTTTATGTTTTATGCGGATTTTGTGTGATGGACCAACACAAACTAACCCTTGAAGTTTTCAACTTTTTTAACGGAAAACATAAATAAACCTTAGTTTAAGTTAAAATAGTGCTTTGTAGAAGCTATTATTACAGGTCCAAATCTTTTGAGCAATGTCTGCCAGCTTTGCAAATCTAGAGAATGAATATTTGTGAATTCTTTATAGCAAAAATGATTTGCGCTCAGTCGGATGGAGAGTATAATTTTGCTCTGGGCTACTTAAACATACAAATGTTTTTTTTCTAAATCATTCTGTTGTGATCCATTTCTTATGTTTATGTCTGTGTCTTGTTGAAAGAGGAACCTGAGCCTCTAGTATGTGTTTCATAGACTTACAGGTTTTCTTCCTTGATTGCCCTCTAGCTCCATCAACTGACATTTTCAGTACTGCTGTGAAAGGGAAGCATCCCCACAGCATGATGCCATCACTGTTATGTTTTACCAAGTACCGTATGTTTTTAGGGTGATTTGAGGAGTTACCTTTCTGACATACAAGAGGACCTTACCCATTGGTGGTTCAAAAATGTGTCTATTTTTTTTTCTAAAATATTTGTGTAAATCCAGGAGAGCAGGTTATTATGCAGAAAAAGTTCAGCAGAGGGGAGATTCCTTTTATGGTTCCCGAGGTGCTGAAAAACTACAAGAAGCCACTGAGGGCTTCACAGAACAGCTGCATTTATCCTGAGGTCAAATTGAATCCTTTTTACAAACTGATATCTGAAGGCAATTGGTTACTGAAATTTACGGATAAATATATTCATAATTGAAGAAAAATTCAGACCATCATAAAAATGATTGTCACTTTTCAGACTGTGTTCCATTTTCTTCTAGCTTCACTGTTATTTGTGTTGCTCAATCATAAAAAATCCTAAGATAAAAAAATAATATAGTTTGATATAACGTTTGCATTTGTAACATAACAGGATGAAGAGGTTCCAGAAGCATGAATGCAAGCTCCAATATTCATATTTTTACAACACTGAAACCAGTTAATTGCAGAAGCTAAAGTAATAGAGAAATTGTGACTTACCTATCTGTCTTTGGTTGCGTGGTTTTCTGCACAATTTGTAGCACAAGCAACAAGGAGCCACACAGCAGATGATAAGACACACACAGATGAGGATGAAAATAACTGCAGCAATAATGCTTGCTACAACCACAATATTGTGAGTGCCTGGAGTGTAGGTAGTCCTTCAAAAAAAGGAAAGCAAGCAATGTTTTCACATTTTTTGAAAGTCACACCATGAATTATGACTAAACATTTGGTAATGAGGATGAGAAAAACCAAGACACACAAGTCTGGACAGTTGGCCTGCTGCTCTTCAGTGAAACGCTCATTTTTGTTTTTGCAGCAATATTTATTACTGCATTTTCCACAGCAATACTTTTCACATAACTTCGAATCATGGTATTTATCTTGTGAATCTGTGTATGAAGTGCAACGATCCGCTGTGAAACACATAAAGAGAAATTAGACTGTTTTTAAAAATGTATCATTAAAATGTAACAGTCTGTAAAAACTGATAAGCAGAACCAGAACTCAAGTTGACAAAAACCTAACTGTCTGTAAATCACAATCATTAGCATACTTTACACATTCACCTGGATTTTAGTTTCACTTTGTTTTTCTAGGCCTTGTCATGTGACAAAGGACTGTCTAACATCAAACAACCAACACCAATAAGAAAAAAAAAACTCACCCCAAGCTTCTGGCACCACGATCAAACAGAAAATACACAGAACTCTGACCCAAACACCTGAGACCATAGCTGCCATGAAGCACTGTACCAAGGAAATGACACTGCAAGGAGACGGTTGTTGGAACTTGTGTGTCCCTCCCAAAAAAAACTCACTCAACAGCATTCCTCAACACATGGAAAACACTTCTCAGAGTGAGACAGAGACATAGGTCAGCACTTATAAGTGATGTATACTCTTGCCATTCTTTTAGATTTTAGTATTTTTAAATTAAGGTGTTCAGTAAAAGGTTTAATTAAAGGGTTTTTTTGGGGGCAGGGGGAGGGGTTGACAGTTGAAGCCCAGGAAATAGAAAGTAAATGCAAACAGGCTGTGATAATAGTCACAGAACTGGTTATGCTTGACAGTGAAAGGAGCATTAATAGCAGAATTGGAAAGATCGAGATTTTCTGGATAGTTTCACCCTTTAACAATATACCATTTATGATTTAGATCTCGATTTCTCACCACATTATATAATTTGACCCGCTTTTAGAATAATAGTGCTATATTTTATAAAATGAACAGTAAGGTTTACCAAAGAACAATTAAACCTTACATGAATGTGTCAGTATGTCCCCTATAACTTAAGAGTAGTGAGATTAGTCTTCATTAAAGTGACATTTCTTTACTTTTTCTAACTCAAAACAGACAATAAGACCTACTTGTACAGAAACTCTGGCCATAACCACATTCAGATTTAGTTAAAATAACTTTCAGGGTATTTTTTTTCCTCTTGTGCAACATGTGATTGCAATAAGTGACTCCACCCAAATTTGCTCTAAACCTCTGTTTCAAGCATCCACCCAGTCTCTGCAGTTTTGTGCTCTTGTAGTTAAGCATCCGACTCCAATAATGCAGCATCCCAAAAGTTTAGATAAAAGAATAACCATGATAGAATGTCCCGACATAAATTCAATTAAAAATATTTAGCAAGATTTGAAAATTGGTGATTATAGACACTCTCTATCCAACCTGACTGAGCATGAACTTTCTTTTCAGAGAAAACTGAACAAAAGTTTTAGTGCTTAAGACATGTGGATCCGGTAAGAATACACCAAAAAAGATGTGCAGCTGTGATTGAAACAATGGTGGTTGCTGCAGTTTTTAATAATAAGATCATAACACCCATCTTTCCTTTTCCTTCCTCTTCTCAATTTTATTTTCCAAAGGGCACAACCAAAATATTTAAATGCCTTATACAGTAACCCTTTCACTGAAAGTCAATTTAAACAACCAGATGCAAGCAGAAAAAATATATTTTATGGAAGTCTGTAAAATAAATGGTACATATATTTACATATGACAAGAAAAATATTTTGGATCACAAGATGAAAAACAGTAAAACCTTAGCTGTTGCTTTTTTTCCCAGTGACAATGATTCAAATGAATCTGAAAAACAAAAAAGATACCCAGCTAGTTTAAAACAAAAGGCAAACCAAGAACAACTTGTTTTTACTATCATGCTTTACGAAAAAAAACCCAAAAAAACATTTTCAAATGACTTGAGTCAATGGCAAAAACAGTTGAGTTTTTTTTAGTGGCAACCGAACAAAGAAAACACATACATACAGAAACCGCACAAAATTTCACAGGAAATACACAAAAGCTGGAAAAAAGCATCAACTATTCATAAATTAAATTGTGCAATTAAGGTACAAGGATATTTTATAGAAATACATGATTTTACTGTCTAATTTGAGTTAAAACATATAAAATGTATTAATCTCTAATCTGAATGTCTGAATGACAAAGACATGAAGTAATTTGTCATGTAAACAGGGTACGTTGTTTGAAATGAAAAGGATAGTAAATTATTATAATTTATTACAAATAATAAATTATAGTAATTTATACTATGGCACTCAAATAATTAACAGTTCAAAAATTCAAAATAACTTAAACTTCTCAAGCCAGCCACAACCATGCTATGAAGGCACATTTGTGTCTTGCATTTCAAATATGTAACATTTCTCCTTTTTGGTTAAGACTGAATATTTGGTAGACCAAAGAGAAAAGTCCTGAAGTAACACTAAATGAAGCTACAGATGCAAAAGTGTTCAGATGTACATTTGACAATCAAAAACTACGGGTGCACCGATTGCAGTTTTCTGGCTAAAAAAGCCTAACCTACCGATTTAGATTTTGGTTCAGATTTCCGACAGTTTCGGAAGTCTGAAATCCTGCTAAATATAACAAGGTCACAGAGTTGGCAACAGTGGGGCAACTATTGTAAACTGCAAACATGACCTCAGAGGAGTGTCTGTCAATCAAGTCACTCTCACAGTATAGACAGATAAGATCGGTGGACAAGAGGGACTGAACATGTTAGCATCAACCAATCAGATCTCCCAAAGTGAAGTAAATCCAAGCCGATTTATTGACTGGATGAAACATTGGTGCAACTGTAATAAAAACCAAACCCTATAAACTCTACCACATATAAGCTATTGTTTTATTTTTTATGATATTTTCCTAACTGATGAAAAAGTAAGTGTTCCCTTTTATAAAGAATGCTTTGAAAAAAAGCATTTCAGCAGTGTATTAAAAACTAATACACACTTTTCGCAACACTATAAAAACAAGAGTATGACAAGAAAGAACATGCTCAATGCACTTCTGCAAGAACCTGGCAGATATCTGAGGTGTTGAGCACAGACATGAAAGCACCTTGTTCAAAGTCTGAAGGTGAATGAGGGAGTCCAGTAGGTTCAGCTGGACTTAAAAGGCAAACAGGAAGTTTTGAGGCATCTTCATAAAGCTGAAAGATTTCTGCACTTTTTAAAAACTCAAGTCAGACAGGGCTTCATGTCTCATTCCCCCAAGATGTGTAAGGACCCACAAACAAACTGAAATCAGACAATTCTTACATATATGCATAAATGTATCCTGAATGTCTATGTAAAATAAGTCAAAGGGCATCAACACGTTCTATTTCGAGACAACTGACCACAACAGATGCTCAACATTATATTACATTGCCATGTTTACCATCAAACCGAAACACTTTCTCTTCAGGTTTTGCTAATGTCAGGAACGTTGTAGTTTATTTATGGTATGAAGTACTTTTACCCGGTTGTGGGTGGTGCAACATAATCTGGGTTGTATGCAGGCTGTGCCAGGAAGTCAGAGTGAGAGGATGGAGCATTTGGCTGTGGGTAGGTGGGAGGATGTAGAGGATACGCTGGCTGTCCGGGGTTGAACGCAGCCTGGCTGTAAGGCATGGGCTGATTGGGAGGGTAGGCCGGACCGACTGGAAATAGAAGGGAAAAGCATAAGAATGAATTGGCCAGAAATATCCTTTACCCACATAAGAGGTCTACAACATTCAGTAAACGGAAATTATCCGTTTCCTTTTACTAAAAAAACCCCTCAGATATAACCTAGTAGTTAATCCACCTCCTCTTCTGCTATTCTGGAGTAACAAGATGACACGAAAGCATGCAGGCTTGCAAAATCAGCAGTAAGCTGAAAAATCAGTTGTCGCAACATTCGAGTTAAAGGCATATTTAATGATGCATTTTAAGCACTGGCGGAACTTGACTAAAATTTTAATCAAGATAATTGCAGGGTGTGTAATTAATTATTCACAATTTATCCAATTTTAATCAAAAACCATACATCTGGCAAGTTAAACATGTTTAATTCAAACACCCTCTTACCTACTAAAATATTGACTTTGAAACATGAGCGCAACAACAAAAATATGTTTTGTTCTTAATCTTATTATCCAACCATAAGATTAGTGAAAAGTGCTGTTTTATTACTGCAAACCAGACAACACATTAATGAAATATTTATCCTCTGGATCACTGCTAACACTCGAAGAAAGTTGTTCAGAGGAAATTTTAACTTGACGGCAGCAGAAATTGAGAAATCTTGTATAGCTATAGAGGGACACAAATACGACACTGAGAAAAAGGCTGACTAAATACTTTTATGTAAATTTGAGATATGTGATAACATTTGCATGGCAGTTATAGTTTTAAAAAAAATTATGTAGTCTGGATATATTCATTTAAGACAACCACACACATGTGGCCAGCTTCAAGGCTTTTCTTGTTAATATGGACGCAAGTAACAATTCACACTCACTGGCTTCCTGATAAGGTGGTGGTGGTCCTGGGGTAAATGCTTGTCCTTTATAAGGCGACGTAGGCATGGGGTGTGTTCCATAGCCAGGCTGAACTGGCATGGGCTGGTAGGGTGGATACTGGGCCGCCTGGTAGGGGTGGGGCTGTCCAGGCACTGACATTGGCTGCTGGGGGTACTGCTGAGGAGCAGAGGTCACCACTGTGGTATGGGTGGTAGTAGCTACCACAGCTGTAAGAAAACCACATGCAAGGATAATGGGTGTCAGAAAAAAATAAAATGCACAATTCTCATAACAGGTTTCAGTAGGAAAGACTCCAAGGAACACAATCAAAGGAAGTTTGACTGAAAACAAGTACTGAAAATAGTATTTGTTTTCAGTACCGATTTCACTGAATGTGATAAATCAAAAGGAAACATGGAAATGTTAAAATAGATATAACACATAACTATACTCATCAACAGAAACCACAAGATGTTAAATAAATGTTAATTTACAGCATCATGAATTTATTTGAATCTCTTATCTCATTCACGTCTGAGAATAAGCAAACTTTTTGTTTTATCATTATTTTGGCATAAGGAGTGTTTCTGTACTCATTAATGCTGATAAAGATTTTTTTTTAGAAAGACTGAAACAGTTAAAGATCAGACAGTAGTCAGTTATGATTTATAAGTGAGCATAAAACATGAGTGTATGACAACAAGTTTAGGTCTTCTACTGAATAGAAGTCATTTTTCAAAAATAAAAAAATAAAATAAAAATGACAAATCAATATCTATAATGAAAGAAATCACTATTTCTGCTTGAAGACCGAGGTGAATAAAATGTCTATATCTATCCTTTAAAGGGTGGGCATCTTCACAACTGCTTCCTGTATGTGACGTCAACAGTTCTTGAGGTTTCCCCTCAAGAAGAAGCAATGACTCAGACTGAGCATTCCTGCGTCTGATCCCAGAATGCACGGCCAGAAAGCCACATTGTCAGACTTACTTGTGTTTTATGCTTAAAAAAAATGGAGTAGCTTTTTTTTTTTTAGTGGGAGCTTTTAGTATTTTCTGTATTGCATTTTATTTGTCTTGTGGTTCTCTATCCTTCTCTACAGTGTCTGACCATTTGTTTCTCCACTTAATCTGCTGGATGAAGGGGCTTTTTGGGTAAAAATACTGTCAGTATTGTCTAAAATTATAAACAAACACCTCCAATTGGTCAGAGCCAGACAACAACTGCGGTTAAATCTTAACATCAAATGTTTAGCGGCATATTTACGTCTGGGATCACATTTAGCGAAAGAAACCACATGCCACAGAAAGTTATGCACTTGTGCATCATACTAGTTATTTACTTTAATTCAGAAAAAAAACCTACAAGTGTACAGCCATTGTATTACTAAAACAATGATCTCATTGCACATTTTTCATCAGAAATATTTCTTGTTTTCAGTAAATCTTATAAAAGGACTATAGGAGATTTTCAACCTTTACTGTGCCAGTAGCACTCAACTTTCTGTTAAAAATATCAATCTCCAACAAAAATAAATAAAAATTTTACAAGCAGACAAATAGATGTCAGTAACAGCAGCTACAGTACAACAATCATGTTAGGTCAACAGGTTACTAGCAATTAGTCAGTGGTTTTAATTTTGGAGTCTCTAGACATTTCCTTTCAAAATGTCAATAAGTAAACAAGCATTCACTTTGATCCGCTTAAACAGATATTGCTTCATCCCGCAATTCAGCAAACAACACAATACTGGAACTGGCTTCTGGTTTAAAGAGAATGTTGTATGGATGCTCCAGTTCAAATTATGTAACCTATTCACTTGTCATGTATGGACTGGATAATTCCAGAATAGACACAGTTTCTGTAAAACAGTGTCTTCTGCCTCTTTTTTGTTTGTAGAACTTCAAAACCACAACAGTTTTAGATTGACATTTTGTCAAGACCCAGAATAAGTCAATGAGTAATGTGGCAGTTCAAACATAAAGCACATCAACTAGTTCCTGACATTTGCAGTTTAGATAACGCTGGAATTATTTACTGTTAGACTTCAGTCCTTTTAAAAAAACTGAAGATAAAAAAAAAATAAAAAATCTGGAAAATCAAATAGTTTTTCGTACTCCATTTTTCTTTTTCCACATTCACCCAGACGTAAATACTGAAATACTATGCTATAAAAAAATATTGGCTTCATTTCAAATTTCTTTTGTCATATACTTTATAGTCACACTTAAAATTTCCAGAGTTACAAAAAATTGAATGTCACAAAAAGCTGTTCTCAGACTACTTCTGTTATAAGATGGAAAAAGCTGTCCAAAGCAACTATTTCCTGGAAAGCTAAGTCAAATTTCTCTATTGAACTTAGAGAAGAAACACCTCACTGCCAAGCTTTACATTATCAAGAAATCATTTAAACATAGCCTAGCAAACATGAAGATATCACACATTCATACATTTGAGGAAACCCAATCAAAGCCTTTTCTAGGTTTCTGTGACTCCACCAACCACAGTTACGTCATAAACAAAGGAAACATGGAACGGTAGTGATTTTCCCTGAAGCGGCCTGCCAAACAAAATTCCTCCTGCTGCAGCCAAGATTTTTCAGATTCTTGATAAGTCTGAAGAGTTTTGGAAAAACATTTAGTGCAAATGTAAGACAAAAGGAACAATTTTTCAGAAGGTATATATTATTTTTTACATCTGGTGTAAAAGTTAACAGCATATAGTTCCTCTGGGACTGTTTTGCTGTTTCAGAAACTGGAAAACTTTTCACTATTGATCCATGAATTTTGCTCTCTACCAGAAAATCCTGAATCCTGAATGTAATGTGACTTTCTGCACAAGCACATTTGGGTTCTGCAGCAAGACAATTGTCCAAGTCCAGTTTGATGACTCAATTAAGGTTTTGAAGTAAAAGATATGTGGCAGCTATCGCCAACACTTGACAGTTGTTGCTGCCAAGATTGGAAGAATCAGCTAGATTAAGAGGGCAGTTTCTTTTTCTAACAAGGTCAGGTAGATTAGATAGCTTATTATCTCATTAATACAAGAAATGTGTATTTAAAAACTGCTTCTTGCATTTAATTAGCTCATTTTTGTATATCAAAAAAACAGTTTTATGATCTTAAAAAAGTGTGAGCAAAGCTGTAAAGATCTGTAAGATGAAAACACTGAGATACTATGCATCTCAGCGCTCCAACAGGAGCTCAATATACTTCCCAAAAGGCTTCAGCTACTAAACCAAATTTACTAAAGCACATTGCCAAGAAAATAAGCAACATTATCAAGTTTGGCTCATACCACAAGCAGTAATTATCTTTGATGACTGAATGTGTCATAATCCCAAAGGATGACGACAAAACAGAACTTTACTTATCATGCTTCATGAATCTCTGCTCAGCCTTCCCTCAATGTCACGTCTGTGCTATTTCTGTAATGGAAGTCAGGTGGTGGGTGGGCCAACCGTTCTGAAATGAGTCCCCTGATGTTCTGTCTTACACTCCAACACACGAGTGCAAGTTCTCTTCTGACTATGTTCAAGCCAGGTGCCACACCACTACATGCACTGAGAAGGCTTGCAAACAGCTCTAGTGTGTTTCTTATTGGTTGTGTGCAGGAAGCCTACATGTGTGCAGCAGCACGATGCAGACACTGCAGCAAATACCTGCAAAATGTCAATGCCCTATTTCCATTTAGTTTTTATTCCAATGATTAGCTAGTTGGATATGTTAATGTGCCAGGTAATATTAATTATTATTATTAACAAACAGCAACAACTTATAGATCCCAGGTACTTCTGGAAAAGAAAGTAATATATGTTTACTATCCAAACTTATCAAAAAACTATTTTTAAATTAATTTTTACATGACAAGATAACGATTATTATAATCATTGATTAATATTTGGTTAAGTTTAGAGTATCGAAGGAGGTCCAGCAAAGATTTCATCAATTGTGCTTTTGAGGCTGATTGTTATTAATTTACAGATGCAAATAGTAAATTGATATTGAATATCTTAGAAATAATAATAAAAATGCACTGATCGTGTGTGTTTGTAACCAATAAGGTTGCAAATCTGATCTTATTTTTGGGAAGGTCACATTTGAAGAATTATTCAGATTTTCTGTTCCAAATCAATTTTTGTTCTAATCTGAAACAAAAGTCAGTGAAAAAATGTTGGTGCACCAGTGGAAAAAGTTAAGTTAGTGTAGAGTCCTGAAAGGAGAGTGGTATTTAAGGTTTAAATAGTTATAGGGGGGACATCAAATCGGGTGTTTGTACCTTTTTGTTCCAAAAACCAATTCTAAAACTGAATAAACTTACTACAAGCCATAAATGAATCAGGTGTTTCCTGGGAACTACTTACGCTGCGGCCTGCGGCACATCTTGTAAATACAGCAGCAGGGACAGATGCAGCAGCAGACGATGAGAAGAAGAAAAAGGACGGAGCCCACGACACCAGAAATTATGACCACAGGTGAGGAATCCCTGACTTCAAGGAATTTATCATCACTAAAAAAATAAAAAGAAGACAGAAAAACAGACATAAATGAATATGTAATCTCTCAGCAGAAATCTGATTCAGTGTTTCAGTACTATTGCATCATTCTCATGTCCACAGCAACATACTAGATCACTATCGTTAGGTAATACTCCACAGTGAGAAACTGTTTAGGTGGTTTATGCTTCCAAGCATGCAGATTTGAAGCGAATCAAACCAAAAGAAGGTGTGAAATTTTCTAGCGCCTGGTTTAAACACATATCTGCAACCACCAATAAATTCAAGCTGAACTCTAAAGAAGAGCTGCCCCAAAGTCCTCAAAAACAGTGTGAGAGACAATTTATTCAGAAAACTACAATATCAAGTAATTTTGTTCTGAAAGTGGTTCTACAAAGTTACCTATCCAGATTTCCCCAACTTTTCCATTTGCTGCATTTGTTGGGGAAACAAATGCAACAAATGCAACTTGCTGCATTTGTTGGGGAAACAAATGCAACAAATGCAACTTGCTGCATTTGTTCCAGCACCAGCACTGCAACAACAGAGACACTAACCCACTTCCCTCTCACAAGAACAATAAAATGAAGTAGGTTTTAAACAAACAGGAAAATTCAGAAAAAAAATTAATAAACAAACAAGAGCAATCCCATTTGGTTGCCACAGCAAACACAAAACCATTGTTTGACATTACTTTCTATATGAAGCAGACAGAAAAAAAATAAAATGCCAAAAACTAGCTGTGCTAAAGCCATGGCACTAATGTTTGCAAGCAATTTAAAAGGTGAGTAAAGCTCTTGCATCTGCTTCAGTATGAAAGTAAACCTGCCAGACCACATATAACACTATCTGTATAAATATTAGTTTCATGGACACTTCAGTTCATTTATACAACCTGCATCTTTCTGCATCTTGATGCACTTCCCAGTTATGAAACTCTAAACTGTTACAGTCTCTGTTTTACTGCATTGCCAACTGAGGCAAACAGGGTAGAAAGAAGTTGCAAACAAAAGTTATTGACCCTACTACTATAGTTGATAAGACAATACCTTGCAAAATTACCAGAAAGACAGAACTTGTACACGATTGACGCTGAATATGTCAGCTCTGTAGGTAACCGATCCATTCTTTTTTATTTTAGTGTGAAATAATCCTTCATTTGTCCCTCTTCATTAAAACTCATTTGTATCTACAGCAAATTGACAGAAAAAGAGAAGTATATATGGTATACTAGAGATAAGCAGTTATAATCAAATAAAATAGTAAGAGAATAACTTTAAGAAGAAAAGGACTTAATCCAAAGTGCGCCCGGATATCAACATTTACACTTTTCACTTGCATGTTTTCTAGTTCGTTTCCTGTTTTGCCAAACAGGGAAGTGGCTATTTTAAGTTAGATATTTTCCATACCCTAAAATACTGTCGTGTTGTAATTTTGTTTTCTCAACCAGAAAGAATCCTGTGCCTTCAAAAAATGTTGTTGTGGTATCAAAAAAATGGAATCGTATGCAGCACTTCTTTTAGTGCCAGTCTTGAGTTTGAAATTTCAGTATCAAGACAACTCTGGGTTAGATTTCAATAAAATCATAAAGTAGTAAATTATTAATGGAATCACATTACTAAAATTTCAAACTCAAAGCTGAAAAACATTACTGAAAGGCAAAAGGTTCCTTCTAAAAAAAGATGAGCACCTATATTCGCTACCAGAACAAAATTTCAGTTTCAATTGGTGGAAATTGGGCTAAATGTTGATTACATGAAAGTTTTGGTTATTTTGGGCAAAACGACTGAAATAAAAAAGGCTAAATTTTCTCTCAAAATCAAAACCAATCTAATAATACTGCTAATGACATGTTACTGATATTTTTAATATTAATGAAAAATAAGCATTAGTCGGCTGTTTAAATTGTTGTTGACATCTTTTGACTCCCACACATATTATATTGTTCTGAAAAATCACCTGCACTTATTTGTAAAAAACAAATACACCAAGTAAAAAAAAATAGAAAATATCAAATATCTTTAAAATGTATTTTTTAAGAAATAGAACGTCCAACTTTTTATATACTATTTTCAAGATTAAGATTCTCAATTATCAAAATCAAAAGGTTAGTCAAATGCAAAATTACAACTACTGGAGCAACTCGCTCCCCATTTATATACATTGTGAATTGATATATGAAGATACAAAGAGAAATTAAATCACCTACCATCTTTCTTGAGCGCTTTCACTGAGTCTTCGACTAAAATCGGAACAGCAATCTCTGCTCGTACAGGAACCACAGCAAAATCCTCTCTTGCACTCTTTAGATTTATGGTAGTTATTGTATACATCCCTGTATGATTTACAGTCAAAATCCAATGCTGTAGGAGAAGACATCAAGATAAATTTATTAGAATTCATGTGCAAATAAATATACTGGACGCAATGAGGCAAGTAAATGGTTAAATTTTATAGCATTGAAACAATAATTAATGATTGAGTTAAATGTTTTTTTTACATGTGGCCTGGAACACTCTGTAGCTTTGATATTCACGTAAAAATCATTTTTTTATTTTTCTTGATTTAAACCCTTTAAAGTAGAAAAGCTTTGATCTTATACATTGAAACGTGGTAGAATAATAAAACCCTCAAGTTTACTAGTTGCTTAAACTAGTAAACACGTTGACATTGAATAAAAAAATTCTGATTTAATAAAATTAGAAAACTGCAGGTCATGGAGTGCAGCATTCAGCTACCATCAGCACCATCTTACACCAGTTAAGAGTCACAACACAACTTCCTGTTGGAGCAGATTTGCAGGCAACAGTGATGACAATGATAATCCTCTAAATGGAGTCAATTTAACTTGATTTGCTTCGAGGGTGCAGTTTTCAGTCATGCTTTAAATGGTTGTGGTAAACAAATATATTTTTAAAGAGTACCCAAAGGGACACTATGAAAATTTTTTATCTGCCATAGGACAAAAGAAATACCATAATTGATTTAAATACCTCTTCTTGACAGACAAAGAGAAGCACATATGGCACACTATAAAAGATACAACTAGTTTACTTGCAAAGAAACAGCTTCTCAAAGAAATTTTAAAAGATAGCATTAATTTACAAACACCAATAAGGCTTCCCTTGAATGTGCAATTACTTACAATGTCTACATTTCATATTCTTTAAGGCGTATTCATTTATTTTGGATTTTAAAGATTCTTTATTGGAATTAACCATCTTCTTGAACATTTTCTTTATATTTTTAGAAGACAGTTTGATGTGGTTAAACGTATCCTGTTAATCACCTTAGGAAAGAAAAAAACAAATCCTGAAATCAACCCAGACAATACGATGAATTACACTAGGAAAATGTTTGAACTTACATTTAGCACCAAATTTACATACATGTTGAAACAACATGAAACCTGTCTAAATAACAGATATAGTAGGATCCACCTTTTAATGAAAAGAAATATTTGAAGACAGTAACTGACGAGATACTCAGCTGTTCTCTTGTGTATAACCCTTGAGTAAAAATGAATAGGAGATTGTAAAATCACAAAAAGGGAAACTTCAGACGCCTCAATTTAGTGTTTCTATAACGACAGGGCATTGAGAAAGTTGGGGTTTCCAGGCTGTTGTCTGCAGCGAACAGGATAGGAGTGTGCGCGCGTATGCGGGTGCGTGTGCGCGCATGCGGGTGCGTGTGCGCGCATGCGGGTGCGTGTGTGTGCATTAAGAGAAAACATTCCTATCACCTTTTAAAATTAAGCAGCATTTTCTTAAAACTGCAGTACATAACTTGGATGAAAAATCTTTTTATTTTACATATTTATTAAAATATGTAAATGGTATGAGGCAGATAATCTGTAAAAGAAAAAAAAAACATCTGCCTTCTCCCAGTGCGAACTAGAAATAACCAACCAGAACCAGCAGTTAGTGCTGTCAATCAAGCTTGTTTCCATGCTGCTCCTCCACAGCTCTGACACATTTAGCTGTCTTCACCAAGTCTATGCCAGGCAAAATGAATAGATCTCAAACTGCAGTCCTTGAGGGGCAGAGTCTTGCAACTTTTAGATCTGTCCTTTGTCCAACACACTTGAGGTGAACGCTGAAGTAGTCGCTTGACTACGAGCATGTAGTCAAGCCCTACAGCTGCTAAAGAGCTAATATTGGAGCCAGGTGTGAAGAACCAGAGAGAGACATCTAAAAGTTGCGTCACATTGGCCCTTGAGGACTGGAGTTTGAGATCACTGGTCTGGGCCAAATGAAAAACAAACAACAGGGAAGTATGATCATGTTTATGGGCAATACCTCTCCCACACTTGAAAACTTCTGGATTATGGGACACATGAAAACTCTGAAAAATGTGCTCTGGTCAAATCAAACCAAAGGGTAACTTTTAGGCACTAATGCAAACAAAATGTGTGCAGTGACAGAAAACAAACACTGCCCACAATCCTGAACACACCATATCTATATTGTAGTCTCATGTTGTAAGGATGCTTTACTTCTGTAGGAAGATGGAACCAAATATTGATCACGCCTGGAAGATAACCTTTCAAAGGCTGCCAAAAGCCTTTGGCTTAGGGATGAAGGTTACCTTCCAATTGGAAAATTGATGTTCAGACACTTTCCATCTGGGCTGACTCTGAGCTAAGTTTCAATTAGAGTGAAAAAAAAGAGAATAATGCTGAACAACTTGCCCAGATGGAAAGCCACTAGGGGAGCTTTATTCAAATGTTTACCACACCTTTGAGATTTGAATTTACAAAGCATGTTTAAAAATCACCACACGTACCTTCCCTTTACAATTCAGCATTACTTTGTATTGGTCTGTAACATAAAATTCCAAATTAAATACACTGAGGTTTGTGGCTGCCATGTGACAAAAAAATGGAAAAGTTAAACATGAATGAATACTTTATTAATGTCCTGTAAAGACATGCAAAACTTTGTGGGAGTTTGTCAGCAAGTTCTATTTTGTTCTTAGACTTACATGCTGCCAAAAGCAACTACATTTTATGTTTTCCTTATCATATAGGGTTAATCTCTAATCGCTGTTTACCAGACTTATTTTCATGCTGCTTTTGATCTTGGAACTATTTTTGTATTGTTAGTTCCGTGAGACTTTCAATGAATAACATAATATTTAAAAGTATTGCTGCAGGCAGTAATTGTATGCTCTTTACCAATACAACCACACAACGTAATGTAAGTGGTGCACTGAAATAGCCTACTTAATAATGGCTAGGCTTGAAATCTATACAGACTCAGAGTTGAAACCAAAACCACCCATACGCATTCATACGTAAACAATGATTACTCTGTTTATCTACCTCAAATAAGTTGACGTAGATAAACAGATAATTAAATACATTTGTGGTTGAAGATTTCATATTTTGAAGAGCAGATGTGGTTTTCAAGTGGAAATGCTCCTTTGAATTCACTTCACTACAGCCAGAAATGAATTCTTGGTTCAGTATGTTGATTGTTTGTTTGATTTTATTTTGTTCTTATTAGTAAATAAGAACAATCAATAAGAAAAGTTACTCTCACTAACACAATTTAACGTACAACTATAATTTAGAACAATAAATATAACTTACATACAACTTAGTTTTTCCTAAATGAAATAATGAGGCGCAACACATACATTTTCTCTAGTTCTATAATAAATTCGTAAACATTAACTTAGACAGACGGGAAGTGACATAGACCTACATCCTGTTGCCAGGGTTTGGGTCCAATCACAAATAGGGAAAGCGGCCCCAACCTTTCCAGTAAAAGTAAAACGCTCTGGTTAATGTTTACCCCAATTTGTTTAAAGAAAACTAAATAACCCATATAAATAAACAGAATACATATACAAACACTTTGTAGCTAAATTAGTTTACTTAAAAGTTCAACAAGTTAATTTTGTCGTAGGCTTTTCCCAACTACCAGCCCCACATTAAAGTGATTTTATTGGTTGGTATTCCTTTACATTGCTGAAACAAATACGTTAAAGAAACACGTTTTAGTGTGGACAAAACATCATAATAAAAAATAACCGTTTTTTCAGAGACTGTCAGCCTCTAATTAAGGAACTGTAGGTTGACGACGTCCCCGAAGTGTGCCGTGAGAGACCCCGCCTGAAGCTAACCTCTGCGGCTAACCAGCTGTCAAGAAAAGCGGCGACGGTTTATCAGTTTAATCAGCCACACTCACCAACCACACAGATGGACATGGAGGCACAGATGACCAACACGACTAGACTGGACAGGCCCGGCGCCATGGCTGCTTTTATTGTCCCAGAACCTGCGCTGAAACTGACAAGCTCCTCCACCTCGCCGACTGAAGGAGGAAGTCCTGAACCCACTGCGAGTGTCCAAGGAGCTCCGCCCGCTTTCCGCGTTCACACAGGGAGGAGCATGAAGTAGCTCATGAAAGGAAGAGGGTCCTCTTTGCGAAAATGTATCAATTATGTTTGCCTCCATTTTTCAGAGACACACAGAAAAGACAAGATAAATCAACATCAACACAATCTGCCACTCTGAGGCTGTCCGAAAATTACAAATAAGATAAACATGTAAAAAGGATCCTTTTTTTTTTTTTTTTAGAAAATGTACATCTGAAATAGCTGGAGTACTGTTTTAAATATTTATTTCTTTAACAGAAAAATATGTAAATTTGTAAAGTGTAGGTAAAATACTGTGATAACATGCAACAATTTGAAATCACATACAGCAGAAAAAACTCATTTTCAAAGATTTTGTTAGGCTAAACTGATTTGGAGGGGACATTCCTGTTTTAAGTCCATTAGAGTAAACAAAATTCAGTTCAAAAATTTATTTGGATCCAGACAGACTTTAACTCAAAGGAAAATTAAACGTTGTAACTCATCACCCACAAATCTTCCGAGAGGCATTGAGAACAGTGACGCTCTGTGCAGACAGGAGCAACAGTCAGTCTTGCAACAAATTTGGTAATACTTCTGACCTAAGACTGTTGTATGACAGTCTCATGATGATCATCACATGCAAACAGCTCAATTTCAAGGCAAGAGAGATTATATTCCACAGCAGCATGTTGTGGATGAAACGATCAGTTGTTGGCAGGCACTGCTAATCCACCTCTCCTGCTTTTGCCACCGGACATATGATCTATTTACTTTATGAGTAATGGATGAGATGGTTTGAATTTCCTTCTTCTTTCTCTGTTTTTTTGTCCTGCTCTGTATCCACAAAGCCTCATTTTCAACTCCTTTTGGAGTGCGGTGAGAGTTCAGGTAAAATTTAATCTTTTGAAATGCTGATTAGGGGCTCCTATTTACAAAAATACTTTTTTGTTGCCATTGTTGCCCTTTCTGAAAGTAAAAAGGATCAAAAGTCCTTCCACGGCATCCAAAACCAGAGTAAAACCAATTTACCAAATCCAAAACCAATTGCTCAAACATGAAATCCCTCAATCAAAAGTCTACAGAGCTATTCCAATAAGCTGTCACCATGAGCTGCACAATTGTTTTCATTCATTAGTGTTAAATATATCATTCTTTTTGATTTACATACATTAGGACTGCAAACCTATTAAACAATTTAGAAAATTTCAGATGATGATGTTATGGATTTATAAAGTTTTGATTGGCTCTTTAACAACATTTGTCTTTACAATCCTTTGGTACAAAAGTGTATATTTGGCTCAATAACTTCAAAGTGCAGAGGTTCTGGTGCAAACAAGCCCAAATCATCAGCCCTCCACCGCTGCACTCGACAGAGTTTGTGTGCTTAGTTTTTACCAAACATGGAAACTGTGCATTATGACTCAGCATTTCTACTTAAGTCCTCTCCATTCAATCATCAGGGGAAAACACTTGAGGCAAATAAAAGGTCAGTGGTGTTCAGTGGACTGATATTTTACTTTGTATATGTAGTTTTCTGCTCATTGCTTAATTTCAAGGCAGGAGAGATGATATTCCATAAAATCATGTAAACATGTACATTTTCTGGATGAAGCAATCAGTTGTTGGCTGGCACTGCTAAAAATAGATTAACAAAAAAAGTTTTTCCGGTTTGGTTTGGCTTCAGTTCAATTGATAATGGCAGTGTACAATCTGTTTGGGTTTGTGTATTTGAATCATTTTAGAGACCAAATATGTTTTATTGTAAGATGATATCCCTACAATGAAGGACAATTTATTTTCTTTTGTTCTTGACTGAAAGATAATAGTTATTTTCGGCCATGAGGCTTTTTATCAAATATTCCACGGACAGGAAGAAAAGTAATGACAAAAAGTGTCATTCGGTTATGGCTGTCATGTGACATGTCATGCTAGATATACTCCATCATCTGACCTATAATCAGAAAAAAGAAGCATTAAAAAGTCTAACTAATTAAAACAAGAATAACATATTATTTAGATATATCTAAAATCACAGTTTTAGAATAAAACTTGCCATTGGGTGTTCATAACTATTTAATATTTTGGATTTTTTCTTTCTTGTCTTGAGTTAAATTACTCTTGTTCTAACTGATTTTTGTCACAGAATTGTACTGTTGTGAATGTTTCTGTATTCATGTACTTATGTAATTGAATTAAACTGAGCTGCTCTTAAAATGTTTGAATGAAAAGTGATTTCCCACAGACACAGGGCTATGGAATTCATGTTATCTTAAATAATTACTTTGTTGCTTAGCTGTAGTGACTGTAATTGAAGTGGCCAGAGTCACATGAGGCCAGAAATGTAAACAAAGCATCAAGACTTCGGAGATCCCTTGAAGAGCAGAAAGGCTCTGAGGCAATACTGGAAATGTGATAATCTGCTTCTAACTTCACATTATATTAATTCAGTTTTTATTGTGTGGTCAAACATAAAAACTCTTAATAGTGAAAGAAACTGCAGCTATCGACAAAACATAAAATAGAGTGAAAAAACGTTAACTTTGGCATTCCAACAATCTAATAAACTAAAAATGTTTAATTGTTCAATAATCATTTGCACTAAAAATTTACAACTTTTAGTCTGTAAATTATTGTATTTTCTGTACTGGATAAAAATGTTTTTTTTATAAGTAAGGTCAAATCCTCCAGCTTTAATTTAATAGTTTGGTATGAACAGCAGGGGGCAGCAGAACACTGGGAATGCAACAAATTGAACTATTACGGAAGGCATAAATGCTTCCTACATTTAAAATAGTTCACCTCAATATATAATAAAAACTTCTTTAACTATTTGATTTCTATCCTATCTTTGTTTCAAAGAGCAATATTTGAAAATACTAGTATAAAAGAAAAGTTGAATCTTGTAGAAAATGTAGTCAATAGCAAATACTTCTCCATCTTTCTGGTTGTTATATATTCATCCTTCTTTCTTTTTGCTTTTAAAAGGGATTTATGCATGTGTTATTGTCATAATATATTTTGTTATTTACTTCCTACTGAGCATAAAGTTTATAAACCACTTATTAAAAATAGGGGACCCTTGAATATTGGTAACATGAATAAAGTTAATTTAAGTTAAGTTAATTTTTAACCCTCTAAACTCCAGTCGAAGTTAAGTTTTATTTCCTTTTTTGGTTTTAGGTTTTTGTAAATATGTTTTCTAGAACAGAACAAGGATTTCTAGTAATTATTTCTTGTCAACCTCTGAGAAATAATTATAATACTGGTCTGCATTATAGAATAGAAATGGAAACTATTTGCACTCAGAGGAGGGTAGAGAATGAGAGCTATTGGAAAAAAATCAGTAGAATTAATACATTTCATAAACCTTAAATTTGTGTTACTTTTAACATTTTCTTTTTTATCAATGACACATCATGGTGTCACTGAGTATATAGGATGGGGAGGGTGGCACATTTGAGGCGCCACAGATGACCTGTATTTATCAATCATGCATACATTTTGTATGCATGATTGATAAATTCATTCAAGTCAACCACAATATTGTTCGTGATCAAATAAAATATACTCCCACTCAGGGTTTCTTACATAGAAGAAGCATATATTTCTCCATGTTTCCATATGGGAAATATTGCTCTATCCATACTGTGCTGCTGCAGCTTATACATATTTGTTTGTAGGATGAGCTATCTAAACTAACCTTTAACTTGAAACTCCTCTAAACAGTGCTGCTTTTGAGTCTGAACTAATAACCATTTGACCCAGCTTCAGATTAGTCTTTTAACCTTCATGATTACTATCATTGATTGTAAAGTGCACCATTAAAAATATTTATCTTCTTTAACGTTGTACCATCTGACCATTATTTTTGAGTAAAAATGAGTCGTGCTTCTTTAGCAGAATGATAAGAAATACTGACAAACAGCTGACTACGTCTTTCTTGTACAGAGGATAAAGTTTAGAAGCTGTCTCTCAGGCAACTGGTAGGCAGTGGTCAGCAAAGGATTAGGGAGAGGCAGCATTGCGTTGACTTTGTACAACAGGAGAAGTCTCAGGGCAGACTGAGACTTTTTAACAAAAAGTGATTTAGAAAGCGAAATTATATATTTTCCTATATGAACTTGGACTGGTTGACTTGGAAAGATTTTGCCTAATAAATGACATAATCATGTGAAAACTGATTTTAGAATATAATTAGTTTTAAAATCATGTAAAAGTGACAGAAAGGGAAAAACAGACATAATCTTTAAGAGCCTAAATATTTTTAATTGCACAAAATTTTGAAAAGAGATTAATTAAGTATTGCAAAACAAGCTACCTACAATGTTTTACTGTAATCTTGCAAAAAAAAATTGTTTAGCATAAAAATATTAATATTTTGCAAAATTATTATGTATTAATACACATATGTAGAAGTTTATTAAAGAAGTTGGGAGGTTGTGGGGGACAAAGGAACAGTAGCAAAAAACCAGCAGCAAATGCCACAACAGATACGAAATGTGACATTTATAAGTTTTTGTTTGTTTAATTGTTAGATTGAATACAAAATAGTTTAAAATGGTTTGCAAAAGCTTTGAATTACGGTGTGAATTTTACCTCGAAAATTCTGTCATTAGTTATCTGATCATAAGATTTTTTTAAAGGATTATAAATTGTCTTTGATCGTGACTTTAAACACTTATGCATTATCGTAAAAGATTAATTTATTCACGTTCTTAAATCTCTCGAGCATAAAAACTAAAGCTTACTCGTGATTAAAACCTCTTTCCACGTGACGCAAATATCGCGAGACTCAGCCATGCCGTACAGTTTTATAAACCCCTGCCCGTCCTCGTCCTCTTCGTTCGTCCTCAGTGCAGGATAACGCGGCGCTCTCGAGCTCTTCATTAGCAGAAACTCAAGCAATTCTTATATTTATTTAACATTCATATTGATTTCTTCCGCCCTACCAAACCCGTGAGGAATTTGCTACTCTGCTCGTAGTTTTAAAAGGTAAGTTTTTAATGTATTTTCTGGGCGGTTCCATTCTTACTTCTGGTTGCTTAATATGGCAGAGCAGCTAGCGTCAAGCTAGGTCAACCGGCAAGGATCAACGGAGAGGCTTTATCATTATCTCCACATTGTGCGTAAAATATACTGTTCATTTATTTTCTACAATGTAATACCAGACGCGTGTCGAAATAGCTGTTTTAGTTGTTTGGAAAAATGCCAAATAACATACATTTCTGTTATTTGGCAATAGCTAACATTATGTTTAATAAGCTGTGCTAATTTGATAACTTTTGTAAACAGCACCTAAGTTAAAATCAAAATTATAAAGGTTGTCACAGTGGTTGTGTTAATATCTTAAGCGTTGTGATTGTTTTTTCTTGAAGAAGGGTTGAGAGGGTAAAAGTCTGAAATGATAATATTAGAACCGGAAATAAAACGTTTGTGTACTATATTATTTGTTCAAGTAACCTTTTATTACAAAGTCCTTCCAATATTTTGAGCTCTGCCACTAGTACAAGGGAATACTCCGTGGTGAGTTGTATTTCCGGGAATGTCTACAAACCGGCGTCATCTGGAAAAATTGTCTGGGTGGGAATCAGAGTTTCGGGGATTTCGCAAAAGGCAACTCTTATTTATCAAATTAGCGTCATCAGACATCAGTTGCCGTGTTTGGTAATGATTAATGAACTTAAGACAAAACCCTCTTTAGAGATGTTTGAGACGATTTAGACAGTCTTGTGTGTCAAAAATTATCATTCACTGTGTTGTTAAAAAATCATCCCTATGATGACGCATACCTAAATTTAAGATCAAGGTCCACTGAAATTTTTGTAAAAAAAAAACAGGATCATAATGTTTCTATAACATGCAGCCACATTTTTTGATCAGTATGAGAACTTTTGTTGTCTTTTTCTTATTTATGTTTTGATGCATAACATTTTTATTATATTTGTATTTTGACCAAACTTTTAGATCCTTGAAGATTTATTTGATTATGTCATAGGATTTTCAGTGTGTTGTGTGCACTTTACTGTCTAGGAGAAATTATCTATTAAGAGCAAGTGATGCTTAATATTTCTTTAAGTGATATATCATGGATATTTTCTATGCATGAGATTTCAGCATCTTATTATGTGTTGGTTACATTTCTTCTCCCTCCTTTAGGTGTCTAAACGTTCATCATCGTTGACGACAATGGAAGTTATTGTCCGTCGCTGTCCCTTTCTGGCATGTGTGCCACAGGCTTTTTTCCAGCAGTCCAGGAAATCCATGGTGACTTATGCTCAACGATGTCCCATCATGATGGAACTGGCTTCAAAACCTATGGCTCCGTCAATGGCACGGGCTCTGTGCTCTTCAACTTCCAATCAAAGGACTGAGATCAAGGCTGGAAATGAAGGTGAGCGTGAATAAATACACTGAAGCTACATAATAATGAGATAACTCATTGTATGGTGAGTTAGCTTGCCAGTTGTGATATGTTGGTTTTAACCATGCACATCAAATGTTGTGTCCTTTTTTTCAGCCCCTGTGGTGGGAATAGAGTCCAAGTTGCCTACTGGTCATCCTGTGCCAACTACATGCCAGGGAGTGGCTTCCAAATGCCCCTTTCTGGCTGCTGAAATGAAGCAGAAGAACAGCGCTGTGGTCCGCCAGGTTACCATGGAGTTCCAGGAGGATGTTGAGGAAGTGCGCACTGTTCAGAAAGGTGAGCTGTATGGTAAATTTAAGAAATTTTAACTCTGTCTGTTGTGTCATATCTAATACTGTTTTTTGTTATTTTCACCCATTTTAGAGATTTCACCTGCCAAGTTGAAAGAGCCATCCTTGACTATCAGTAAAGTGGGAGACCAAAGTAATTTGATGAAGACTCTCCTGAAGCAGCGTCCCAAGAGGGTTACCCACCTGCTACAGGACAACTTGCTTGGCAGAAGTAGGTTTTATTTGACTGTTGAGCTTTGCATCATTTACTTCTGCAACATATCATGCAAGTCTTGACTTCCTGGTTTGTTTCAGTGTCCCGCTTCCAGTACGATGACTTTTTTGAGAAGAAGATAGAAGAGAAAAAGAATGACCACACCTACAGGGTGTTTAAGACTGTGAACCGCCTGGCCACTGAATTTCCGATGGCGGACGACTTCACAGGGTCGCTGGAGGATAAGCGGGAAGTGTCCGTTTGGTGCAGCAACGACTATCTGGGCATGAGTCGACACCCTCGAGTTGTAAAGTCCATCATGTGAGTCTAATACAACAAGCTTGGAGGTGTAACCTTCAAACGATAACATTTGTTCTACTTTTTAGGTTCAAGGTTTGTTATGTAATAAAGAAAATATTTGTGTATGGTCACCGTTTGCCTCTGATTGCTCTGTGGCTTTTGCCCCAGTGTAAGAGCTGAGGTCAAACGGAAAGAACTAGAACTGCTTAGAAACACTATATGATGATTAGATATGACCAGATACCAAGGAGCGCTGCCGGATCTCTGGTTCAGTGGAAGTAGCTGGTCAGAGTTCAGATGAGAGAAGTGTTATTTTCCTTTCAAATTGTTTCAGCCTGCCCTTGCTTTCATACAGTGCAATTATAATACTTATTGTTCAGTCATTGTAATTTTACACCTAGTTAAGTTTCTATCTAAGAAAAAGGTGTGGACTGTTATTGTGGTGCTGCTTTAGAAAACCAGACAAAATTATCACACTTTGCTTTGCTCATGTTCTTCTTTCAGGGACACTTTACAAAAGCACGGATCAGGTGCAGGGGGAACCAGAAATATATCTGGGACCAGCAAATTCCATGTGGAGCTGGAACAAGAGCTGGCTGACCTCCACAACAAGGATGCTGCTCTGCTCTTCACCTCCTGCTTTGTTGCCAATGACTCCACACTTTTCACCCTCGCCAAGATGCTTCCTGGTAGGTTTTTTGGGGAGGTGAAGCAAAATTGTCTAGGCTTTTAAATGTAACTTTTTGCTAACTATCTTTCCTCACAACATCAGGTTGTGAGATTTACTCAGATGCAGGCAACCACGCGTCAATGATCCAGGGCATCCGGAACAGCGGCGCTAAGAAGTTTATTTTCCGCCACAACGACTTGGCTCATCTCAGAGAGCTGCTGGAGAAAGGAGACCCCACCAAACCCAAAATTGTGGCGTTTGAGACTGTCCACTCCATGGATGGTCAGTTTTCATCTACTTGTCTGGTAACACCATTCAAATGTTCTTCGAAATGCTGCATTGTGACCTATGTTGTGCTGCATTCTCTGGAACAGGTGCTGTGTGTCCCCTGGAGGAGATGTGCGACCTGGCTCATGAGTTCGGCGCCATCACCTTCGTTGACGAGGTTCACGCTGTGGGTCTGTACGGGGCCAGAGGAGGAGGAATCGGAGACAGGGATGGCGTAATGCACAAGATGGATATCATTTCAGGAACTCTAGGTCAGCATGCAATATCTACTAAACAAAGCAGTGATTTTTTTTTTTTTATTCAATTCCTTTTGGGATATTATTGAGCTACTTCTGCTTTTATGCATGACTATATTTTTAAACCAAACAACGGTTCCCAGTTTGCATGACTCATCCTGCTCTTTGTGTTTATGCTCGTCTGAGGATCAAGCCTCAGTAGTGCCATCCAATATGCCTGTGCTTGAAGGAGCATGAGTAGTTCTGTTGTTGCTAGGAAACTGTGTGCTGTCTCAGTGCACTCTCATTGAGTTACTGTGTCACTGTTGAGCTTAACCCATCAGCTCTGCTACTCTGTGCATCTGCTGCTTCAAGAAGCTTGTTGGTTTCACAAATGTTTTTGTTTTGATTCTAAATTCTGCAAGTATTTGTGAAATGATTGGTCATTTTGTTGTCCAGGGAAAGCTTTCGGATGTGTCGGGGGCTACATTGCTAGCACCTCTGCCCTCGTGGACACTGTGCGCTCCTACGCAGCCGGTTTCATTTTCACCACCTCCCTGCCCCCGATGCTTCTGGCCGGTGCCCGGCAGTCGATCCAGACCCTCAAAGGGGAAGAAGGCCGCATGCTGAGGCGTAAACACCAGCGCAACGTGCAGCTGCTCAGACAGATGCTGATGGATGCAGGGCTGCCTGTTGTGCACTGCCCTAGCCACATTATCCCTGTTCGGGTAATCTACGATTTAGTTCACAGTTTAATCTCATCAAACGAAAACACTTTAAGTACAGACAGGCTGATTAGCTTTAAGCCCCACATAAGACACCCCTGATGACTGCTCTTTAATCATATTGTGTGACTTTCTGATCTCAGGTGGCAAACGCTGAGAAAAACACAGAGGTGTGTGACATCATGATGAGTCGCCACAACATCTACGTGCAGGCCATCAACTACCCCACTGTTGCAAGAGGGGAGGAGCTTCTGCGCATTGCCCCAACCCCTCACCACACCCCAGAGATGATGAAATACTTTGTTGGTAAGATGATAAACCGGCTACATGTGACATAACCTCTTAAGACTGAGTCGTAGATTCAATTAAACTGTAACAGGTTGCATATGTACCTTTCAGCCTTTACTGACGCTTCACTTGTTTTGTTTTTTTTCAGAGAAACTGGTGCAAACGTGGAAGGAGTCGGGCCTCGGGCTGAAGCCCCACTCATCGGCAGAATGCAACTTCTGCCAGCAGCCGTTGCACTTTGAGCTGATGAGCGAACGAGAGAAGTCGTACTTCAGTGGCCTCAGTCACCTCATCTCAGCCCGTGCATAACACTACACATCACTGCTAGCTTAAACTGGCACATAAACATTCATTCCTCAGTCGCTGTCATAGAATGTATTAGTTATCTTTGATATGTCTTATTATATGTAATATTTAAAGTATTCTATCTTCAGATGTTCTATAATCTTCAAATAAAATGTAAAAGGAAAACTGTTTCACTGTGTTTTTATGTGTGTGTGTTTGTGCAATGTTTGAATAAACAATAGTGCAACTGAAACGCAGGGGAAAAAGTGAGTCAATCCTCTTAACCAGTGACTAAATTTTTAAGTGTATGCTTGAAACTGAACTTCAAAGTATTAAACATTAATACTCAGTTTGTGTTCTGTAAAATGGAGATTAAAGTTTAAATAAATGTTTTGTTTTTTAGGTAAATAATTGCACAGACATCAGTATGTGAAACTACAAAAGCTTGGCACTAAAGAACTTTAGAAACAAGTTTAGGCTGAGAATGTTTTAGTACTACTTAAGAAGTATGGAAATTAGTTTCTAAATAACCACAACAACATAAACTCACAGTCATCATATCAGATCATAGTTTAACTGTATATCATCATTAGGTTCAAGTTCAGGTTACTTTTTTATATCTAAGTACATAAGTGGCTCAATAGTGGTAGCTGCTGCTTGTAACCGAAGGGTTACAGAATCTTGCAAATGGATTTTTGAAAAATCCATTTGCAAGATTCTGATGTGTAGAGAGCAAAATGTTTTCAAACCCCTTTTAATCTGACACCCTTAATATCTAGTGCTGCCAGTTGTATTCAGACATTTATTCTGAAAGTTATGTAATCTTTGTATAAATGCATCTCTACTGTTGGGGACTGAGCATCATAAAGACAGTAGAGAGGACTGGTATGACGGTGTGAATGAACTCTGAGCAGGGTTTGTTGGAAGAGCTGCAGAGAGCTACACCCCAGTCGGAGAATCAGTTGAAGAGAAAACTGAAGATACACAGCTAAACACGGTGTTCTTGTTACCTGACTGAGTGAAACCAAAAGCCATCAGACTGGGAGAGAGTTTCACCTTCCAGCTTTGAAGCAACTATAAACATACAACTGAGCAACTGTTGAAAGAAGTGTTGCATTGATCCAGTTAAAAGTCCAGACCTGAATTGAACTGAAAATCTGTGTCAATGCTTTAAATCTGCTGGTCACAGATGCTCCCCAACCTCCAAATGTGCACAGTAAATTCTGGTTTCAAGACAATACAGCTGCATTTACCCTGAAAGGGTTAATCTTTTCTGATTAACTGCCACATAAGCTGCAGTTAAGACATGAGCTTCTTAGGAGTGATTTTAGCCACCTGTAAGTTGTTTAAGTACCTTAGCCAACTTATGGGATATTTTGATGACATGAATCAACGTGTGAACGGTTTTGAAAATCAGTCAAGCCTTTTTTGTCAATTTCTTAGATGACCTCAACATGTCAGTACCTCCATTTTAATGATGAGAAAAATAAGAATGGTGTGCATGTTGTGAGGATCTGTGATGTTTCATGATGTGTCATGAGCCTCTTAACAAGGACTTAAGAAGCTCATGGCACATCAAAGAGGTGCCAGCTCTCCAGTTTAAAACTACAGTTCACCTATATGTTAAGGGCAGGACCATTCACAGAAAGAGTATAACTGGATCTGATTTTGCCTGTAAATTTGGATTATATTGAAATCAGCAGGAAAAATCTGAACTGAATTAAAACCAGATGTGAATATATTGAGACCTTTTTGTGTTGTAAACTGCCATTTGATTTAAGTTAGTGCTAAAGTCACAAGCGAAGATGATTTGAATTAATGATTGTAGACATAGAATTTTTTTGTCACTATCATAGAAAATAGTTGATACTTCCTTAGTGGAGCTTTTCCATTTGCTGAATCAAGTGTTTCATCTGAAACCACGGTCTTCCAGAGCAACAAAAGGGCAGACATGTGATGTTTAGCCACATACATTAAGTGGAATCTAATACTTTGTTAGAAATAGGTCACCATAATGAGCTTGGCTCAGCTCACCGAAAGGCTGAATCTTTGTCTCACTGCCGATAGAACAGCTTTATTATTTCGTTGCACTGCTGTGGGTTTTGTTCACAATAAAAGTAGGATATGGACATTTTTACTGTTTGGCACAAAAAGTAAAAATGCAAAGGACAAACAAAAGATTCTGCACTTGTCATTATCATTTCCCTTTTTTTATTATTATTTAAAATTAGAAAAGTGACTTTAATAAGAGTCCGTCATTCAGTCTTTTCAGTTTTTGCACATCTTAGCTTCAAAAAGTAGATTGTTTTATATTGCTGTGTGCAACGTAACATTGAGTGGAGGACCCACTGACCCACTAACCTGTAAATTCAGGTAAAGATTACATAAATTTGTTTGAAGACACAAATCCACAAAGATCATGCTGATAATAATGAACACAGCCACGCAAAACCTCAAACTATTGCACCACTTTCTAAACCTTTTAAAGGCGGTTTCATTGATTCTTCTTTAAAAGAAATTTATTGGTAGTTTACAGAGCTTTTATCACAGCTCATCATCATCACAACACACCAGCACACAGTCAACATGTGTCCCCTCTTGTTTGGTGCAGTAAATGTCACAGCTGCCTTAAAAAAGAAGAAGTTCTCTGAAAATGGAAGTGAGAATTGCCTTTGGTTATTACAAGAACTGAGGTTTTCCATTGCGATATGTAAATATTTCCACTTCTGAGGTGAGTCCTGCTATGTCTCCAAGCAAAAGCTGAAGAAATGCAGTGACAGTATATATGCACAGTGCCTTGCAGAATGATTTGGCCTTGTACTTGTTCACATTTACAAATACATTTCAGAGTGTTTTTATCAGGATGTCATAAAGTTTTCATAACTGACAGAAAATAGGAAAAAAAAAACAATATTTGAAAATGGCGATGCGGATCTGAAATCAGCCACCATGAGTAAATACATCCACCTTTCACTTCAGTCAAAACCACTGTACATTTTAAGACATGTTTGATTAAATTACATTACACTACTACCTGGCCTCTTGAAGAAATTGATGTAAATGGATTTCATTATGAGACATCAGTGGATAGGTGGTGGACACAAATGCACACCACTTTTCACTTTTTTCACTTTAAATATTTTGTACATAAAACACCATGTATCATTATTTTATTTTCTTTTACTACACAACTGCTTTCCCATATTGCTTTATGTAGAATCTCAAGAAAATGCATTTTTCCAGGAATTGTATGTAAAAATGTATCCTACATTATATAACCTGATGGAATTTTACAATTGTTCTTGAAAATTTATACTTCTTATTATACATTAATCAAATATGGCCAAAGACGACTTTGGGAACCAAAAGTTGCAAGATTTGACAAGAGATTTCAAACCTTAAAATGTTAAGACACACAATGTGATGAAATTCATTACAAAACTGAAAGAATAGGTTAAAGGAGGGAAGTTACTCTGCAAAAAAGAAGTAGAAAAAGCAAAACTATAACAATGTATACCTAAATATTTTTTAGATTTTTTTCTCCTTCATGTAAGGACACATGAAAGTCTTGAGTTAAGTCACATGCCTACTGAACAAAGTGGTTGACAGTTTTCTATTTCAGTTTAATTAAAAACTTATTTATCCACAAAGGGAAATTACATGTTTTATCTCCAGAGTCCTTGTGGATGGGCAGGATAGATCTTTTGTGGCGGTAAACCTTGCAACATATCAGACTTACTGACTGCAGGCTGTTTCTATATGACAGTGTCTTTACAGTCATTTATGTTATCAACTCAATTTCCAGGCATCAGAAACAATATAAAATGTGCTCATTTAGGGTAAGTTTATAAAAAAACACAGCATTGATCTATTTGTGAGTATTTGTGATGTTGCTTGCTCTCACGTGGAGCAAGCACGTATTTTCATTACCTGAAAATATCATAATGAAAAATAAAAACATTAGTCAATAAATTATTTGGTACATTCTAAGTATTGTGCTTTCCAGCTTAAACTAAGAAAAACACAACACTTCATAATACTAATATCCACCATGCATATTTTGTGGATTCTGAATCATAACAGAAAACCACATTAACTCTCAAATGCCAGCGAAACTGGGAGTATGGGAATGCTCGTACAGATGATGCATCATATCCGACAGTGAATCCTACGATTAATCACAATTTTTACTTCCCTTTTATAACTTAAAAGCAAGTTTCATCGATACACTCATCTGCAGTATTTATATTGACACAGACAAATGAGAACTAAGTCATGCTGTCAGTGACTGCATTTCAAAATCCAGTGATCAAAGTTTTCGTGTGATCTTCAAAAGAATTTCTTGATGACACCAACAAGGGACTCTTTGAGAAAACTTAAGCAGAACAAAAAGAGAAACTTGCATGAAAAATATACAAAATAAATACACATTATTAGGTAATGTTAAGCCTGGTGTTCAGCCAAACTATACTGTGGCCTTTTGTGATGCCCACACCATTGCAGGACAATTTATCTTTGATAGTGCTGGCTTTGTGAATTCTCAGTCATTTTGTTGACTTAGTGCTTCATTAAAATGAGAGACATTTTTGTCCTCGTGTGAGAAAATCTTGTGACAGACATTTCACTGGGAGGCATTTGTTTACATCTTGTGAGATCTGAGCATAGTGTCTGAATTTCCATGGCTACTCATTTCTGCACAGCTGCCAGCTCTAGTGATCCAGACAAAAGTAGAGAGCAATGAAGAGAGAGCCCACACATGTTGTTAAAAGATTCAGTTTGCACACCAAAGGACTGGTGTGCAACCAGTCCTTTGGTGTAAAAGTCCTTTAGAGTGAAAGAGCAATACTTCAGAAGTTTGCTGAGTGAATATTTTTCAAAACTTAAGTACTCCCTGGAGTTTAAAGAGAACTAGAGTCTTCTCTTGTGCCAGATGCACAAAATGTTCAAAGTAGCTTTTATCCTCATAAATTCTCAATCATATTCTCATGATTTATTGTCCCAGTCAACTGAAACAGCTGTATTTTTGTGCCTAAGCATGTGTCACATCTAGAATCAAAATCTTTGTTGACTTTTTATTTTCTATGCAATATTCATAGAGAATAATCAACCGGCATTGATGTGCTTTGACAGCGGTCTGACTATATGCATACATGTTGCCTTCACTACTTCACAGGGATTAAGTGCAC